ATCAAAATGCAAGGATGGCCTTGGTTTGAAAACGAGTGCCTTTTATAGCCAAAAACTTCAAGTAGGTGAGGTAATCAGCGGCTTCGCGAGGACTCTTAGTAAAAAGAGACTCAAGAATCTTAATATTCGCGAGAATAAATTACGAATAAGACAGTTGGAACGGTTTGAGCTGTTTACCGTCAGGGCCAAAAAACAAAGTCTGAAGGAAACAAAGGCTTACCTTCCGGTGAAGAATTGGTGCTGGGAGAAGCCGGAGAAGATAAGGCAGCTTGAAAACCAGAAGCGGCAGAAGTTGGAGAACCAGATGCAGCAGAAGTAGTAGCTAAAGTGGCTGTCTCTGATACCTTATTTTCCTGCGTCGACTGGGGGACTTGAAATTCCGTTTCCAGCTTTAGAAGAAGATCCTTTGCAGAAGCACTGAGAGCGGCATTGGCAGTGTCCGCTTGAGGTCCCTTACCGTCCTGTTGGAGTAGGGAAAGCCCTCGCCGAAGCATGATTTTTTGGCCGACATCGAAGCCCATGTCGGCCAAGTCCTGTTCGGTGATTGAGGCAAGGACTTGTTTTGATGTTATTTGGTGCTCAACCAGGACGTCTTTGATATCATCAGGAATGTCCTGACCACGGCAAAATTTAGAAAGCCAGGAACTCTCGGGAGTAGTATAGGGCGCACCGAATTATCCCCTTTTTTGAGCAGGAATCTCATTAGCGTGAGCAGGAATACATTAACGCCGATGACGTCATAGGCTATTGTCCTCATCTCATGAATAAAATGCGGTGGATTTAATTAGGTATACTGGTTTGACCGGTTTGTCAGGTTCTATTTTTAGCCTGGTTGATATAACTGGTTTATTTTTGTTTTATGACATAACCTATTGTCTTGAACTCATGAATAAAATGCGGTGGAATAAATTAGCGTCTATGTCGTAATACTCTATTGTCTTGTACTCATGAATAAAATGAAGGGGAATAAATTAGTATCTATGTCGTAATAACCTATTGTCTTGAACTCATGAATAAAATGCGGTGGAATAAATTAGCGTCGATGACGCAAGAGTCTTTTGTCTTTATTCATAGTGCGGTGGATTTAATTAACGTGTTCTATATTTAGAATGCTGGTAAAACCCGTTTGATAGGTTTATTTTAGATCGATGATGTCATAGTTTATTGTTCTTGAGCTTATAAAAGCTTGCTTTCTTCCAAGCACATCATTCGCAAGTTGTGAGTTTGAGTAGTTATCATGGATTTTGATACCACTTTGAATGACTTTGAAAATTGTATCTGGCGCGATGAGACTCCAAGCGATCAGATGTTGGATCGAATGATGGCTTTATGCTTTCCAGAAGGGGTAAGTCGAATTTTTTACTTATTAACGCACTTATTAAAGTTAATCTTTCCCTAACAAACTATGTATTTCTTGTAGACTGAAGATTCATCGTTTATTGAAGAAATGATGGAGCCATCTTTAAACCAAATACAAAGTGGAGCAGGCAGGAAACGACAGGCAGAGGTAAGTGTAAGTACTTGATTTTCTCCCCCTCGTCAAGGTAGTTAATATATGGTTTACTCTCATTTTATAGGATGATGTAGACAAGTCTCTAGCTAAAATGCCTCAGTATGAATGTCCTACTTGTAAAAAAGTCTTTACACGACCAGATAACTTAAAACAGCATAAACAGATCCATTTCAAGGAAAAGAAGCACCAATGTTCCAAGTGTGACAAGACATTCCATCGGAGATCAAACCTACTGCGCCACGAGAAGCAAGTCCACGAAAAGCGTGCTGCAGCTAGAGAGTACAAGTGCAATACCTGCGGAGAGCGATTTCATAATCTGGCGCCATTCCGAGCTCATCAGAAGACAGCTCACAGCCAACCCTTGCCTAGAGCTACAAAAAGTACACGGGATGATGAAGCAGGTAAATCTTTTTTTAGTCGTATGTAAATGTTTACTTGCCTTACACAAAAGATGCTAGGACCTATTTCTTTGTTAAAGGTCTTAATTCCATGCAAATTAACGGTAAAAGCAGTGAAGCGTAACATAGTCATGTGCTTATTTTGAGTAAGTTAAACAATGGAGCCCATTTCTGAATTTTAGTTAGACATTGGAATTTTTATTTCCCATTGAGAGCCAAAACCAAAGAAAATGAAGCCCAATCCTATCGAGAAAAAAGCAACTTCAAGTTCCAGCTGGCAGGAAGATCCAAGAACCTTGACTGACTTACCTGAAGTCCAACAAAGTTCTGTTCTCGAGTATCGTCGCCACTGGCATCAAATCCGCACTCGATTCAACCGCCAAAACCGGCTCCTGGACTGGTATAACTATCGTCTGTCTTCCCCGCAACCTCAAGAGGTTATACAGCACCTTGACGAGATCTTTACCGACCAGTCCACCGTGTTTAAACTTAATGTCTCCTTTGGTTTCATTCTGAGAAACAACGAGACCGGTGCACTACAATATTACTATGCCTCCAGAAATAACGAGCAAGTCTTTGAGGCGCCCTTTCAAATCACAACCGCAGACGATCTTCCACATGTCCGTGAAGCATTGCAGAATCTCGATGTCCTAGCATGGGTACGCCAACATCGCCCCAACTCCAAATGGGTGGTACAACAGGTGACCACTATCACTTTCGTCGTCACCAAACTACAAGGCCATCCGATAGGGAGAGGTCAAAGTCTGCCTCACTACATCGTGGAAAATCGCGGTATTGATGCCATGGATCGCAACTACCGGACCGGTAAAATCTACAGCGACAATTTGTGCTTCTTTCGCGCTTTGGCACTCCACAACGGTTGTCACCCAAAGAATCTGGAGCGGGATACCAAGCATTACTATGAGCGATACAGAGAATTTTTTCCTGAGAAAAATAAGTTTTTTGGTGTGAAGCTGAAAGAACTTACTGATCTGGAACACCTCTACGAAGTGAACATTTTTGTCTATTCCCTCGAACCCACTAAACCCGATGGAGAGGAGGGAGAAGAAGACATAGAAAAAGAGGAAGAGGATTTCGCTCCTGAGATCGCTGCGCATTTGATTCACCGCTCCCTTTGCCACTACCCAAGTACTCTTCACCTCAACCTGTACCAGGATAGCGATGATGAAGGAGAAGATCTCATGGACACAGATGACGAGGAAGAAGAAGACATAGAATCTGAGACAGAAGAAGATCGTGCTTTCCTGGATGATAAAGTGGAAAGTGAGCAAGGTGCCTCGTTTTACCGAGCTTTAGATCGCGAACGCGAGAACCAGAGTGAAAATGATCACGAGTGTGAATTTCACAGACCAGAGGACAACAGCCCAGAACCTAAGGAGAAAAAAGTGCACCCGTTAAAGAAACTGTGCCTAGACAAGTACACGAGTTAACAGAGTTAGAAAGAAAATATTGGCTGCAGTTCGCTAAATTACAAAACACTAACATGGTGCGTGTTTACGAGAATGAGGTTGAACCCAGGACCATGTTTCTATAAATGATAGTGATCCAGTTGAAATTAGTTAGTTTTGCCTTGCTGTCGAACTGTGAATATGGTCTATAAGAGAGTTTGTAGAGATTGCCCGATTGAAGGATGCGGTGCAAAGTACCTTGTAAGACCAGCTAACCATCTCGCAAATGTGCACAAGTTGGATCATACGCAACGGAGAAAATACCTTCAAGAGGCTAAACTACAACCAAAAGTTAAAGTGGTTATCTATGACACAGCGAAGAGTAAACGTTCGGGAGAAGGTTCCACGAGTGAAACACCGACATTGACCCAGCAACAACAAAATCACACTGTTTATCATTTATCGACACCCAGAAAACCAAAAGCTTTCCCGCGATTGAAAGCAATAGTCCATGAGCCAAGACATCTCAAAAACATTTTTCGTGGCACCCCTCGTAAGACATAGCGAATTTGGTATCAAATTAAAGGTTATTGTATATATTTTAATAATCTACCTGTTACTTTCTATGTAACCTGTGCCTAAGTGAGAAAATCACTTGTTTCTGAGGGGGGTGGGGGGACGGTTTTACATTTTGGCACGAATACTTTTTAAGGCTTAAAACAACAAATACTTCAAAAACTGCTGATCCCATATGGAGAAACTGGCGAAAAGTTATTTTAAGTAAAGTGCTGTACTAGTCTTTGTCTAAATCTCAGTAGGGTGTTACCATGGTAACTGTTGCTAGGCAAATATTTCAAACAGGGATATTACATTAATATGTACATTATGAACAGGATTTTTCACAGACACTTTTTTTTGAACACCAAAGCATTATTAGCGTCATCCTTTTTGTAAACTATTTACTTTTTATGAACTATAAAGAATGTCACAGACTTTAAGGCTCAATAATATCCCTGCAAGTCAACCAGTTCATTTGTTTCACAATTGTTGTAATTCTTTTAATAGCAAAAAAAAAAATAAAAACTCAAAATAGATTTGAGACTAGTGGACAGACCAAAATCTGTAAAGTGTTTTCTTCTATTATTTTTAAATGAAAGAAAAGCCGGCACATTTTGATAATAATCCAGTGTCCGCTATTCCATGAAAGTTCCATTCCAGTTTGTATATCCCATGATGCAATTCAAACTTATTATCCATGAGCGGCCATCTTGGAAAATAGTGTGCAGACAAAATGGTTAGCGAATGGTGGTTTTATACAGATTTTCCTCTTAATTTCGATTCTTGGTTGTGCAAGATAAACTCAAGTAACGCCTCTAAGTTTCTGTATAATATATTTTATTTTTTAAAAGCTAAAATTCCTACAGAACATTACTAGAATAACTGTAAGTAGTCTGTCAGATTTTGTTTTCATTACAACATCGATACTGAAGGTTTTGGCGTGGAAGCGGTCAAATCAAACGTAGAAGTTATGTTTTCAATACGTTTTTGCTTGTGTTAAGGAAATAAGGTTTTTTGCTTCTTTTAATTCTCTAGTGACATTTGAAGAGTTTCGGAAAACAAGCTAGTGTAATCAAGGATATGGCAGAAATTACGCCAGTAAGTTGTACTAGAAAGCGCTCAATGTCCAGCTCGATAAAGAAACCTAACTGGAATAGGTGCCTTTGTCATGTAAAAGAAAATGTTCAAGGTCAATTAACAGCATTTACTAGCAAAAGCTGGGAAAAGTTTGAAAGCTGCTCGACTCGGAGAAGGGATGAAATCTGGTTGATAATGAAGAACTACTGGAATGAGGGACCAAAAGGGGGATATCACCGGCAATGCTACCAAGAATACACAGACATAAACAAAGTGTCTAAGGAGGAACAAAGTCATTGCAATACCAGAGAGGATCGAGATAAAGAGTCTCTTGGGCAGTCCAGTGGTATTGAGCTTTCGTGTAAGAGGGTCTGTAGGTCACAACTTCAAACATTTGACATTGATAAATGTGCAATTTGTCAGAAGGACAAAGTCAAGAAAGCCTACGGCAAAGGAGCAAGAACAAGAGAACCACTTACACTAAACATTAGTGAATTTGGTAGTGCCACTTTGATAAAAGCAGCCCGGATTCGGAATGACAGTCGCATGCTATTGCACATTGATGGACGAGCCACTATAGCTATGGAGATCAAGTATCATCGATCGTGCTACAAAAATTATGTCCACCCAAAGCAACTGGCTAAGTTAGAAGAGCAGAATTGTCAAGAAGAAGATGCCGGAACTGAGGGTTATGACAGAGCATTTGGTAAAGTCAAAGAATTTGTTGAAAAAGAAGTCATCGCTGCGGCAAAAGCCATTCCGATGTCAACCCTTATTGAAAAATACACTTCCTTCCTTACAGAAGAAGGAATAGATGTAGTGACGTACAGGTCCACTAAGCTGAAGAACCGGCTTACGCGTTTTTTTGGAGAACGATTGTCCTTTCATCGACCTTCGAACCAAAACCAATCAGAATTAGTCTATGGTTCGCACCCCAAATAGGAGAGGTGGTAGAAACTGTGTTCAAGAGTACTTCGTCTGTCGATGAAGAGAAAATGGCAAACAGTGACAGTGAGCCGGATTTAACAAATGCACAAGACGAGGTAAGCCGTCAAGTTTACCATACGGCTAAAACAATACAAAAGTTAGTTGCCAACATGAAACCAACAATGCCATGGCTACCATCATCAGAAGATTTAGAGTGTGAGATTGAGATGGTACCTGATCTGCTCTACAATATGATGGCATGGATTCTATCAACAAAGTCCGAATATTCTGTTGAAAGAGTTTCAGACATCTCACCGGAGGTCCATCGCCTCGCCCTGTCTCTTTCTCAGGATTTGATACATTCTGCCACTCGTGGACGAATAAAAACACCAAAACATGTCGTCCTTCCGATGATTGTAAAGAGCCTGACGGGGAATGTTGAACTGATAACCATTCTAAACAGATTTGGACATGGTTTATCATACTCCCAAATAGAGGAAGTGGAGACAGCTCTGGCAGAGATGCAGATTGCAAAGCGACAGAATGGGGTCTTTGTACCAAGTGTCTGCTACCCTAATGTACCAGGCGTTTTCTGCTGGAATAACAACGACCTACGAGAGGAAACCTTGTCAGGTAAACTGTAGTCCCAATTGAAAGTAAACTGCTCATACACTTTGTTTCAGCGTATGAGAAAAACGTTTCCAATCTGTAACTAGAAAAACTATGAAAAGTAGTCTTAAAAGTAGACTTAAATAGTTTCCGTTCTCGACCAATTGGTTAGGTAGGTTAAAATATCAACCAACAGCCAGGATTTGTAGTATTGATTTAAGTCCCTTTTAGTATTGATTAAGGCAGGTTTTTACATCAATATTTCCTGTTATTTGTTCTGCAGGTAAGGGAACGACTCATTGCACTAATGGCATTGTTATTCAACGCAAACCTCTTAGCTGTGCTCTACCACCTGAAACTTCCAATAACCAGAATCGCTCCAAAAAACGTTCTATTTCCTGCATCTCTACTGACGTACTTCCATATCATTCGGGACCTCGACAGGGACCTGATACGCTCAAAATTGATCTCACCACTATTAAACAAGCCTTCCCGGAAATTGCAGCTTATGCACGGGTCATCGACTTTGGCTGGATACTCTGCAGAATGCCGATCAAAGACGCGCTATTTTCATTGGAAGACAATCAAAGGCAGGTTATACCAGCGTGGTCAGGCTTCAACATCAAACTACGCGAGGACAGTGTCCCACGTGAATGTTCAGTTGGCTATTGCCAAGTTATTGAAGCCAGTCCCACAGAACTTCCCACACTGTATACAGTGTTGCAAAGATCTTTACAAATGGCTGACCAGCTAGGGCAACATGATGTAATTGTTATTTTCGATCAAGCGATCTACGCAAAAGCACTTGAAGTACTATGGCAGAACAAGGACCAGTTTCAGCGATTGGTTGTCCGGATTGGCTCCTTTCACACCATCTGTGCCTTCCTTGCTGCTATTGGCAAGCGATTTGGAGATGCTGGCCTTGCAGATGTTTTGGTTGAAAGTGGTATCGTGGGCTCAGGATCTGTGGCCGGGGTTGTTGAAGGTCGTCAGTACAACCGAGCTGTACGTACACATAAGGTACACATAGCTTGATTAGGTCTTTTTAGAGCTGAGTGGATAATATCTTGATGATTCCTACAGGATCAAACTTCACTTTCAACTTTTTTAATCGATGCTACGTAAATAAAATAAACAATTTTTTTTAAACCTTTTGTTATTTTAGATTGTGTTTGAAGCAATGCACCGACTACAGTGGATGGGTTTCAAGTCATGACTGCACCGTAGTGGTCACCGTGGCAACCGCATGATCCTTGTCAGTGCCATAGAGCACATCCGCAAAGAGTTTAGCACAGAGAAATTTAACAGGCTGCTGTCCCTTCCGGATTTCCTAGAAATTTTCAATCTTTACAAGGAATACTGTAAAGAAGACAATGGTCCGCTAAAGGTGTTTTGGAATAGCTACCTGGAGATGGTGGAGGTGCTGATAAATTTCGTAAGAGCAACCAGGGAAGGGAACTGGGCCATGCATCTTGAAGGCATCAAGGAGATGCTACCATGGTTCTTCGCCTACGACCATACTAATTATGCTCGTTACCTTCCAGTGTACTTAGCCCACATGATGTTGCTACCAGAAACTCACCCAGAGGCACATACCCTCCTGTTAAATGGTGATTTTAGAGTCCAGCGAACAACATAACATGGATTTTCACAGATACCGGTGGATCAAACAATTGAGCAGACCCTGACCAGAAGCACTAAGACAAAGGGAGGAATTGTTGGGTTTAGCCTGAGGAAAGGTGCTGTACAGCGATGGATGATTACTGCTCACTCCCGTGCTGCTTTCGTAGACAAGTGTCGGAAGATGACAACAAATGTTCAAGAGAGCCAACGCAGACTGCACAAAGAGGCAAGCCCAGCTCGCATGAAAAGAGATGAGGACGACGTAAAGAAAGTTTTCGAAGTAATCAGTACCTGGCGCAACCCGTTTGAACCATTTGAGGAACTTCTTAGTCTTAGCTCTGGGTATGTTGCCAGTGAAAGTATGAAGGCCGACCTGCTCCTGGCAAAAGAGAAGGGCACAACAGCTTTGACGGCCTTCGTAGAAGAAAGACTGGTGACAAATTCAACAGGACTCTTTTAAACAGTCCCCAAACTAAAGCTAGGAAGTTTCAGTGACGCACAGAAGAAGACCTCTGTAACAGCAGGAGAGAGGAACTTCATAATCAGAGTAGACAGGAACTTATTTGCCCGCCTTCTAGTCAGATGGACCTCAAATATTTTCTGAGTCACGAGCTTGGTCCCTTCCATGGTCATTGGCTTCATCCAATGGTTCATTAGCCAAGACAAACAAGGCAATTCTTTCCCAGCTACTCGAAAATGGAGTAGAATGCCTGCCGACTTTACCTGATCTGACAACAGCTGTCATCATAGACACCATGGCGATGCTGCAGACTCTAGTAAGGATACCTGATAGATTTTCTGAGCTGGCAGACATGGTGATGACCAGAATTCTGATAGAGGCTGGAGAGACAGCAAGAATCGACTTTGTAGGAGACCAATATCCAGCTAACTCAATTAAAAACATCGAGAGGAACAAGCGAGGCAGAGATGGTGAGAGAGTCATTAACATTACCAATGGTCAACAGTTCTGCCCTCGTCAGTGGAGAAAGTTCATGGCAAAGGGGAGCAACAAAACCGGTCTCTTAAACTTTCTTGCACGTGAGTGGTCACAAAATGCGGTTTACGCCGAGAAAATCAAAGAACGCACTCCCTTTATCACTCATGGAGACAATTGCACCAAACTCTCCGCCTCTGATGGTACAATTACTGCATGCACAGTCTTGGAACTTTGCAGCAATCAAGAGGAAGCTGATACCAGGATGCTCCTCCACGCAAATCATGCTTCTCAAAATGGACATCAGCACATTGCTATAAGGTCATCTGATACAGATGTAGAAGTTCTAGCTTGCTGTTACCAAGCTGTCATTACTACATAACACTGATCAGCGGCACTAAAAGCAGATCTCGCATTGTGAGTATCCGACAAGTATGTGAAAAGCTTGGCCAAGAGATATGTGAAGTACTTCCAAGCCTACATGCCATAACCGGTTGTGATAGTGTCAGTGCTTTTGCTACCAAAGGAAAGAAGAAGGTACTTGATATTGTACAGTTGAATCCAGCTCTGAGGCAAATTGTCAGTAGTCTTGGTGAGAGGCTCCCTCCAAATGAAGAAGATTTAAAGAAGATGGAACGATTTGTTTGTGCCTTGTACAATGACCCTAGATGCAATGATGTAAACGAACTCGGGTACAAGTTGTTTTGCAAGAGCAAAAACCTGCAGTCACACCAGCTTCCACCAACAAAAGGAGCTCTGACATACCACCTCAAGCGTGCTAACTATCAGGCCTTCCTCTGGAAGCATGCCCTAGAGACACAAACAGACCAGGCGCCCGATGGCCATGGTTGGCAGATGAAAGAAGGCCAACTGGAAATCTACTGGACTAACCAGGCACCAGCTTCCGATGCTGTGATGGAGCTTGTATGCTGCGGCTGCAAAGGATTGTCTCAAACACGACGCTGCTCTTGTGTTGTCAATAGTCTTCCCTGCACTGAGGCATGTACATGCCAAGATAACTGTGTCAATTGTGTTAGCAAGGAAGATAGTGAAGAAGATGATGATAGTGATGACAATACTGATGTTGATGATAATGATGACGATACCGAAGATAAAAATGACAGTTAAATTCAGATTTGGTGACGCTAATTAGTATCGGCTGTCTAGTTGACGTATTTAAATCTATGAGTTGAATGATTACAAGAATGTAATTTGATCGTATGACTTAAAAGTAGTTTTTGGTCAGAAAAAAGCCAGCTGTGAATTGGAAGGCCAAGTCATCAGGATGTAAGGATCTTTTGAAATCGCAAATGCTGCGATGGTCATCATCAAAACAAAAACAGTGTAATATACGTATATTAGAAGTTCAGTAGGCAACCGCTGCCATGGAAACAGTATAAACAGCTACTGTGATGCATAACCTTTTAGTTATCATAATAAAAATCGGCAAATTTCTTTTCAAACTCATTTCATCGCGTTCGTTAGAACGCATCCTAATCTGGTGTTCCTGTGGCACTAAGGCAGAAATTTTCGAGCTATCACAGGCGACTGCAGATTAGCCGCCCCTATTAATTTTTTTAGGGGCACCTCGGCCGGGAAGCTGGACTTCTTTTGACTCGAGGAAGTTCCGTAATTTTTCCGTAAGTGACGAACGCTGATCCGTAATCAATGATTACCACTAGTTTCTAAAAGATATTAATGTTTAGAGGTCACAAAGCACTTCCCCCACCCACCCCCAGCTAAATTTGTATTTACCTGCAAGGGCTTCAGTTATGCAGTATTCCCGAAAAATGTCAGGCCAGTGAGACCAAACATTTCTGTGCTTCCTTCTCAATTCCTTGTTTTAAAAAAACACTCACTAGTACAAAGTAAACGGTAAAAGTGAAGTGCGCTATTTAAACGTTGACGGTTGTCATGGCAACTAAAGAAAATATATTCGATGAGTTCGTTTCATAAAATATGGTGAGGTTAGTATTTTTGCCCAGTTTGGTGTAAAACCGTTTGGTATTTGCACAGAAAGTTATCTTTTGCAATTCTTGTACATTTGGGAAGCGCAATATGTCCTTACCCACTCCCCCTCAGAAACAGTTGATTTTCTCACTTAAGCACAGGTTACATAAAAAGTAACAGGTAGATTATCAAATTATGGAAATCAAGCTTTAATTTGATACTAAATTCACTATGTCTTACGGGGGGTGCTACGAAAATTGATTTTTAGCCACATTTCAGGACTTGGCTCATGGACTACAAGTGGTGTTGGAAAAAAACAAAAACCATCAAAGGACGAAACATTTACCCACTCATTAGTTCACTTATTAATATCAGGAGGACAATACACTTTGAACAAGACTATCTTTCCCTATGACGACATGTAAAAACCCCTTAACGCTATAATTTACCAAATCGTTGAGACATTAAGGTCTATGGATGTCAATGTGTTTTAAGACTAATACCTCCGTGAAATGTTTCAGCTGGCTGTATATTCGCTTTTTAACGTAAACTAGAACTATATCTGTAACGTTGATGGGTATATTAAAAATAAACGATCCCCGCTGCGTGTCATTCCTTGAACAAACTTTTAGTTAATAGTTATTTATTTGAATAGTAGTTCAATTGAAAACCACCACAGATCAGTGATGATGCAAACTTATTTTTTAAGCATACAAATATTCATGTA